CACGCTTCTCATTTTAAACAGTGATTCTGGCACTTGATTTTTTTCCCCAAGTAGTGCAAGAATCTCAAGTAATCATGCTGTTTTTTGTTTTTGGGTTTTTTTTTTCTTGTGAAGAGCAACCGAGTCTTCGTTTTCTGAACTCTAATAACCAATTGTTAGCGCTTACTTTTGCAGTGATGCACAAGCGGTCCAGGTTCTGAGACAGTAGTATCATGAAGAGGAAGAGCCTCCCACCATAAAGGGTAAGAGCCGGACTGTCAGATTAAAATACGAAGGCTAACCAAACACCCGCCGTTTGTAAACCACTGCGAAACATCTGCTCCGAGAGGGCTTTCCGAAGCCCCTGAGTAGGAGACGCCTTTTGAAGATGACTGCTGCAGCCACACTGAGGACAGGTGGACTGGGTCACCGCCGTGGGTCGCTAAGGAGACACCTTGGGCTCATCCGGGGTCTGCGGAGCTCCTTCCTGAGTCAACCCCAGCTGGGTTCCCATTGGTTGAGGAACAGGGCCATCGAAAATTAAGCCACTGGCTTAGCATCATTGCTGAGATCTAACAGGCTGGTGGGCTAAGCCAAAACAACCAAGCTGGCAGGACATCAGTGGTTGTCGCTGTCATCCTAGCCACTTAGGAGGCTAAGAACTGAGGATCATGGTTCAAAGTCAGCCCAGACAGGAAAGTCTGTGAGACACATAGCTCCAATTAACCACTAAAAAGCCAGAAGTGGAGCTGTGGCTCAAGTGGTACAGAGCTTGTCTTGAGCACAAAAACTAAGGGATAACATGCTATGCCCTGAGTTCAAGCCCTACTACTGCCTGGCACGTGCACACACACACACACATACACACACACACACACACACACACACACACACACACAAAGATACTCAAGTTATACATCTAAATGCTTTGAAAGATACTAATTTCTGGGCTCCAGCTGAATTCCTCTAGTTGGAACAATCTCTATGATAATGGTCCACAGGACTATAAATATGCATGCTACTAGCTAGTCAGAGGAAAGCGGACATTTCTCAACAGTAGTTACTTAAATAATGCTGCTTCCTGCAAACACCTGCCATGCAGTCTTGACATGAAATTTAAAAAAAAAATTATGAATGAGACAATGAACCAGTCAACTGGTGGAAAAAAACTGACAGGTTGAGGAATGAATGAAGTTTTTCTAGGGTACAAGCCACGGACAGTAAGCCCTGTGAGAACAGAAATTGTATCATCATCTTTTCCTATTGTTCACTGTTTCCCCAAAGTACTGGACTTCAATGAGCACTCCATAAAAAATAACTAATAATCCAAATTACATAAATTACATAACATTAAGCTGTACAGCTTTAAATATCCACGCAGTAACCTTATATAAAGCACAGCTCCCTGGGCAGGGGGGTGGGGGAGGGAAGTAAGGTTTAAAGATAAACGAAGAGCTTATCTGAAAAAGAAATGAATGCACATTTTCTGGAGAAAATATTTAGCTTTCCTTCAGGTTGGTATCTGGCAGCACTCTTTAGCATGGATTCTTAGCAAAAGAAGTGGGCACATGCTGGATAGACACCTTATTATGAAAGAAATTCTTCCAACCCCATTGACAGAAAAGCGTGAAGAAGGATTGTACCCAAGAAACAAACCTTAATTCTGTGTTGGTTTTGTTTCCTTCCAGTCCTGGAATCTGTTTTGTTTTTTTGGGGGGGTGTCCGGTCATGGGGCCTGAACTCTAGGCCTGGGCACTGTCCCTCAGCACTTCGCTCAAGGCTAGCGCTCTACCACTTGAGCCACAGTGCCACTTCCGGCTTTTTTCTTTTTGCTTATGTGGCGCTGAGGAATCAAACCCAGGGCCTCATGCATGCAAGGCAAGTGCTCTGCCACTGAGCCACCTTCCCAGCCCCAGGTCCTGGAATCTGAATTTGCATGTGCTCTGCCCCCCCCAGCCCCGCCCCCAGGCCCTAGCTCCGTGCCGTAATGGCTCCCTTTCTCATCTGCAGTGGAGCCAGTGGTCACAGCACCGACTCCCTCTCCACCATCCTTAATTAGGAAATGGCTAATGAGGGAGAGTGGACGACGTCCAATTCTAAGCCTTTCTATTGTTGGGAAGCTCCAAGGAGAAACTCCCTTCCAAGCACACATATTTCTTAAAAGCTGTTTGGGGACCCAAATGATCCCAGCACACACCCCAGAGCTGCAAGTGCTGCCTGTCTGTGGACAGATCCTGCGCCCGTCTGTGGACAGATCCTGCGCCCGTCTGCTGCACGCAAGGCAATGTGGGACCTGAGCGCCCCCCAACACCGGGGCATTTAGAGAAGCCAGTTTTCTATGTGTTAGGCAGAAAGTATTTTCTGACCAAAGTTGACAGGATATAAATGTATATGAATTTTTTTCTTCATAGGAAAGGAGAAAAATTAGACTCAAATGGAGAATGCTAGAAGATTCTTTTGAAAAAGGTGATTGCCCGTGAGTGGAGTTGGGAAGTTGGGACTGGTTAGCGAAGCCATCAGCGGCAAAGACCATTGTGATGGAAACTCTTTCCACACCAGAGCCAGGACGGGAACAACCTTGTGTTCACTTGAGAAACGAAGCAATGAGCTAAGCTGCCTGCTCTCATTTAAGCATATGGTTTATATACATATAGATGTATGTATATAATATATGTATATATCAGCTGAATGTTGGTGGCTCATGTCTGTAATCTTAGATACTCAGGAGGCTGTGATCTGAGGACTGTAGTTCAAAGCTAACCCAGGCAGGAAAGTCCCTGAGACTCCTATTTTCTCTTAACAATCAAAAAGCCAAAAGTAGAGCTATGGCTCAAGTGGTAAATTGTAGCCTTGAGCACAAAAAGCTCATGGACAGTGTTCAGGCCCTGAGTTCAAGCCCCAGGACTGGCACCAAAACAATTACAAATGAAAATATTGTAGAAAAAAGAAAAGAGGTGAATCCCTTGTGGTCATTTTCAGAAAGTCCAGCCAGATGTTTCGGGCTGAATGTATGGAACCGTGTGTCTACCTGTGCAGCTGCTCTGTCGTTTTCCTGCAGGCTTGGTCAATACGACTACACTGTCTTTCCACACTTTCCAGTGATACACATTGCTGGAAACCGTCTCTGTCATTTGGATCACAGAACTGTGAATCCAGAATGCATTGCAACCCATGAACTCCCACTCAGCAACCACGACTCTAACACCGACCACTCATGACGCCCTTACAAGGAGCCAGCGAGAGCCGACGGGAGACTTTAGACAAACTACTCAGGGCTGGGCAATAGACATCGAAACTAACCAAGTTTCTCTTTGCAGCCCACAATCCTACAGACGATTCTACTTTCAAATACAGTTAATGATACTCTATTTTATCTTGTTATCAGTGTGGAAGTTGGGTGCTGAGGAAAACAGAAGCAGAGCCTGTCATTCTAGCTACTGAAAAGGCTGAGATCTAAGGAATGCAGTTTGAAACCAGCCTGATGAGGAAAGTCCGTGAGACTCAGCTCGAATTAAACACCAAAACACCCAAAGTAGAGTTGTAGATCAAGGGGCAGAATGCCAGCCTTCAATGAAAAGGCTAAGGGAGAGCAGCCAGGCCTGGCGTTCAAGCCCCAATACTGGCATGTGCACACAAAAAGAAAGGTTTCTGGAGAAAAAAAAATACATGATCAAATAAATGGAACCACACAGTATCCTCTCCCCCACTCCCTCCCATACACACTTTTTGAGAGAAGACAACAGGAGTACTCAAAAGAGAGCTTTACAGAGCTGTGCCCAGTTACCAGATGACAACAAATATCAGATAGTATTTCTTTTGAAATCTACAAGTAGAATTGTTGTTATTACGCATTCTACACGAATGGTAGTAGAAACGAGCCATGGGGTTAGACCCAGCAGCCTGGGAGTTGCTGGGAGCTATGAGACTCAGAGCTGTGAGCCATCATTTCTCCCCAGGGCTGATCATGTCCAGGGGACGTGATCCACTGTTATCGAGCACCGCGTGGTTGAACCACCAAAAGGCCAGCCGAAGTGAAACTCAATTTCCAAGCACTCAATCAAAGATGACTGCAACTGGTACATAATTCTCTCCCTTTTGATTAATCAATCTCAAGAAAGAAAAGGTAATTCCTATCGACAAAAGGAGCTGCTCCCGGGCCATCTGCTGTAACCCCGGCCCTTCCTGTGGCTCCTCTTGTCTATGTTTCTCATCCAATTTCACCAAATTTTGCAGAAGGACTTCTGCCCAGCAGCGGGTGGTGGAAAGGGGTCTCCCCAGCCGCCCCTGCATGAAGAAGCCGCTGGACAGTGAGCGGCCTCCACCACAGCCCGGGTACTCCATGTGCTCAGAAACAATTAAAAGAAGAAGAAGAAGAAGTACTTGAAGCCTAATACCTTGTATTCAGCCTCAGACCAAAGAACTTTATTTCTGTTTTCATTTGTTTAAGCTAAAATGGTATTGAAAACAACATTTTTTTTGTCTCAACTAGCTGCTTTGGAACAATGCACTGCATGAGGATGCGCCGTCCATTTGGGCTGTCTGTGAAATCTGACAAGAGAAAGGAAGGCCCTCTTCTCTCTCTCTCCTTCGCCTTTTGAAAGTGAAATCATTTTCTTCCTTTTCCAGGGTATCCTGCACCAATACCAGGTGGTCGCGTGGAAGGAGCCACGTGAAAGTGCTCGAGAAGAAAGACTATGGAAACGGGCCGCTGATGACTCTGCCTGAGCCCGGCTCTCCATTCCGCTTCCGTGGTCGCCCCCAGGGCGGCGGCCACCTGCAGGGCAGGCCGCACAGAGACAGCAGGAGGAAGGCTGTCCACTGGGTCCCCTTGAAACACATGCTGATACAGTGAGGATCAAGCCTCTGTGCATCCGCAGTCTCCACTGTGGGCAGAAGAACTCGTTAGATTCCTCCCTTTGGTATTAAATAACAGTTTGGGGTTTTTGTTTTGTTTGTTTTTTTTAAAAAAAAAGCTTTTTAGAAACAAAGCAAATGCATGGTGGGACTGCTGTGAGCGGGCC